AGTTTGACGATTTGTGCAAAAGACCACGTAAGACATTGCTGACAGCTGAGTGAAAATATTTTTTAAACTTCAGGCAACAAAGAAAGTTCGTATTGAATCTGAAACTCAATCAAAAAGAGGGATGAATTAATTAGAAGAAGTTCACTTTCTTTTAAGCTCCATCATAGTCTAACACAAACTTAACTTAGTCGGTGTCGTTTTGACAATGAGCTTCCAACAGCAATGATAAATTGGCCTTCTATTATATTCTTTCCACATACTTGCAATCCTAAATTGTGAAATAAAAGTTGAGTTGAATTTATTACAATCTAAATGTAGACTGAACGGCGAAAAAACATTGGTTCCATCGTTTGTTGGCGTTGCGCTGAATATGGATCCATAAACTAAATGATGAAGGTGAGCTACCGTGACATAATATCCAACAGTTCTTCAGCGGAACTAATATTGTTGATGGTGTTCAACTAATTTCTTCGAATTCCACTACAAAATAAGCAAAAAATTTGACAGGCATTGTGTACGCATAATAGTGATAAGAATGTTCGAGAATGTCATGATTCGTTTCGGATTGAAACCATTAATGTCGTTTCGGATTGAATTATTGTTCTACGCACGCGTGACTGAGACTATGCAGCGTACGTATGTCATACGTCTATAAGACATACGTCTGTGTGACATACGTCTGTATGACATACGTCTTTATGAAGAATACAACCAGGGTTATTTCGCATCAGGCGTTCAGTTCCAGTCTGCAGTGAGCATTGGGTGTTATCATCTCATGTTGGGTGTTTACTTCATCGCGCCACGCACTGATAGGCATTTTCTGCAGACATGTCAGTGATCACTCTGATACTATGAAAATATTACATACTAATGTAGGTCAATATGTTTACCTTATGGTACGTTACACTGAAAAAAATCGTTTTACACAAATGTATCAAGTGGTCCCGCAGTAGTATAGAATGTTGTAAAGTGAGACGATTGTATCCCTGATGGCACCCCACACTGAAATAAACCATGTTTTGTATAGAAGTGTCAGAGACTCGGCACAATGTCGATGAGATGTGTTAACTTATGGCAAGTATTGGAGGAACTGCTGAGGTTACCAGCCTCTGAGCAGGCCGTGACTGTGGCGAGGTAAGCCTCACTCGCTTACATCTTGGCTGCCGCCTTTAACTCTCGCGTTCGCTCCCTCTTTTCTATAGCAGCGATCACCAGCTGAGCGTGTCGCTATTATGATTATTTATACCAGGGCTCCGCGTCGCTGATCACGAGCCCAGCAGCCTCGGCTTTGAAGGCGATCATTAGCGCGATATTGAGACGCGCCGCCCGCCACGCCCCGCGTCTGGGAGCTTGTACACACTACCGTTCTCTTCCAAGAAAAGAAAATTGCACAATTGGCATTGAAAATTAGAGCTCAATCCCTCTGTTTGATTATGACATGCATGCGAATGTAGCTGTTTGAATAATAGAGCATTTCTATACATGAACTGTGGAAACATTCGACTTACCGTATCACTTGAGGCACGAAATGTTTTTCAACCAGTTTCCTACAAGGTTGGGAAGCAGCATGAGGTAGTTCGTTTGAGGTAAAAAAAATGAAGCCAAAACGTGTCATATATATTATTAATGTCATCAGATATCTCATATGTTGCTACCGCGTGCTACTAACACACAACTCTGGAAATAAACATGAAAACAAAGACGTACCAACAACACTAGAATCAACTTACTCTAACACCACTTAGGACAAAAAACAGTATGTCCATTGGATGATCTACGCGACTAGCAGCTCTTCCATGCTATTATCAGCTCTAACGAGGGCGAGTTCCTGTTCGATAACAATGCTTCAATCATGAATTAAGCCATTCAATAATAAATGAAAATAAATAGTTCAAACACACACAACTAGAAACATTTGTCGTTAAAATCTAAACATTAAATTCATGAGCAAAGTGTTCCAGAAAAAATTTCTTTAATCAATAATTTCGACACACATGTAACTTTCACGACTAAGAGTACGAAAACAAAATAACTCTAGAACAATTAAATAAAGACTATAAAGAGAAGACGAGATTAGTTATTCAAACGCACGCGCAAAAAAAAAAAAAAACTCATGAACACGAGGAGAAAAATGGCAGGAATGCTGCATGATTTTCAGCATATCCTTAACGGAGGAATTGTAAAGAAAGTAAAGAAATTGCAGAAAGAAGAGTTAGAAGGTATCATTCACCATAATCTCAATATATCGAAATAATTTTTGAAGTACGTTCAAAACGCTGCAGGAAGAACTAGTCCACCAACAGCCAGGATGGACTTTGATAATTCCCTGAAATGGCGGTGAAGCTTAGCGTGGGCTTACCATCAGTTGACGTCCGTATCAGAAATGATTGAAAAATCTCGACGAAAAAGTTTTAAATGAATTGATCTACAAAAAGGTAGCGAAGCTAAGCATTTAGTAATGCGGACATAACACGAGCGTAACGCGCTGGCTATGAGCGGAACTATTCAAATATACTGTAATTCTAATATATTACCTACACCAACCAAACTGTTGATAGTTTCGATTGTTAGTTTTCAACATGAACATAAGTATAACAAATTAAGCAAATAATTCTCAAACGCCCCTTAATCTCACGGATATAATCCTGTGTAATTTGCATAGTTCGAAAAAATTAAAGCATCGTCGCACATGAATTACAAGGCTTTATAAATGAATAATTTGAAAAAATCTCTTCAAAACAAAACATCACCTTGGGCTGCTTCCTGGAGCCATGAAGAAGCAGCAGTGAGTGGAGTGAAGTGTCGGATAAAGCAATATCGTTGGGATTGCCAGTTGCCTACATTTCTATCGCCCTCGAAACATATGCCTTAAAAAATAAAAATTAAGCATACATAGTCGACGATTTCCAGAACTCCTCTCCAGCAACGAACACGTAGTTTAAATAAGCGTGGTAAGGTATCACTGCTGGATAAACCTACTGATAAACATTTGCAGAGAAGATTTTGAATATATAACATATACTGAAAAATTACGACATATGCAGGGCATGTTGACTCTTTATTATTTCATCTTTTTCAAACTATAATAACATAGAAATAGAGTTATATGTAGTAAGTTTTGTCACATTTCAAAATTTTCATGAAGCTTTTTACTATATAGCTAAACAAGGAGACAGACTGACGAAAAACAAATGAGTTACTGAGTTTCAAAATGAGGCTTAAAGCCAAAAATTTTTTCTAGTTTTTTATTGTGAAAATAAAAGTCTAAATAATCTATGTATAACGATCAGCACATTTAGATCAGCAACTATAATAAGCTATGAATTGACCAGCTTGAAGATGTTACCATCATTAGTGTATTCCTGCACAACAGTCAAGTGATGAAGTGTGGCCGGGGCTCACAATAATAATTAATCGATGGAATGTAACGCTATTCTCCTTATATATTTTACACTCTACGAATTTAGAGAATGAACTGTCCAGCAGTTCAAAGAATAGAAACACACATAGAATAGAAAGTATTTTGATAAATTATGGATAGAGATGTCTACATTATGATGGATAACTAGAAAAAAAATAGAAAGAAATAAATTAAAAATAATTAAGTTATACATGAACTTAGAAATATCTATTTTCGTGAAACATCACCTTTACTTCAACATTGGCCTTAAATGAAAATAGAGTCACAATAAAAATATTCCAACAGAGAATACACAGTATTTCATAAAATTTCAAATAACTGATATGGACATCAGTTAATTGGAACGATTTTTTCGTTTCACTGCGCTTTAGTGATTTCCTTTAGTTGGCCGATTTGTTTTCAATCCTCAAATTATTCATACGAATTTAGTGAAGACAATTCAATTTGAAACAAAATTCAGCTAATTTAGAAATCGGTTTTATAGCAACCCAAACACGTAAAAACATTCAAATATGCAGTAGCTCTACCTGATCACCGACGTTGTCTAATAAGTAGCAAAGGTTAATCAGGCGTTTAGAGTAAGGTTGGGCAGCAGTGCTTACTGAGCAATGTTAAATACCTGGGCCCATACTTTCAAAAAAAGTTAAGAGATCGTAAGTTCATCAGCCAATCATTGACGGCCTTTCAACCAAAATCCACCAATCATAGACAAGAAAATAGAGCGTAAGTACTTACGTTCACTTAGCGAGTTTTGAAAGTATGGCCCCTGGCCACGACGTTATACAGGATGAACAAATATGCATCAACAAATGTGAAGATTAGGTATGCAGGTATTCATGATACCAAGCCGACAACGTACATACTCTCCAGCATAATACTAAGTCATCCTCAAAGGTAGCTATAACATCTACACTTGCTCAACATATCTTAGTGAACAAAATTCAGCAAATGGCAGCAATGCTATCAATCTCACAGCGTGGGCGCAATATACGCAAACCTGCACGATTTGTAAGCTGGCTGGATGCATAACTGATAGTAGCTAAATTTTTGAGTGAAATTGGAATGAAAAATTTGCTATTAAATCCAAAAAAAATATAACTCAGTACTCACTGCAGTGAGTGACAGAGAGCGCATTTTCTCGTCGACGAAAACTTGAGGTCACGGACAGACGAACGACAGACGGACATGGCGAGCACAATAGTGCATTTTTTCCATAAATGAGAAAATGCGCTAAAAAACAGGAACAAACAAAACCCGAATTAAAACATGATTAAACTGTCCTATTAGAATAGAATAAATAGCAGGTGGGGGCGTACACTTAGCATTAGCACGCCAAAAGCTATGAAAGTGTTCAAACTATGCCACCAAAATGAATAAAATCAATTAGATTTAAATAAAATCAATTAGATTTATATAAAATCAGTTACATTTATCTCTATCTACGCCAACCATTTCAAATCTACGGGTCAAAAAGTTCGGAAAACTTCGATCGAATTTATCACGTTTCCTTTTATCAGGAGTGAATTGCACTGCGAGTACCTACGTAAGACTACGTCATAAGGTAAACTAAATCAACCAATCTACAGATATATATTATTACTTTCAAATCTCCATTGTAAATGCATAAGTTCCAGAGAAGCGACTATCAAGGAAAATTAATATGAACAGAAAAATAATATTAAAATAGCCCAAAGTCTTACTTAAAGATCCTAAATACAAGCTGGATATATCGAGTCTTCTATGGCACTCACCAGATCACTATAAAGGTTTAATTTAAAAAGTCGCGGCTCGGTATCTATGCCTACATCTCTAACAATCTTAAGGCAAATTCAACGATAAATACTACTTTGGATACGATCTAAAAATAGCAAGTAGATCCAACGGTTGGCGATGCTGTTCATCTTTGATTTCGAAGAAAGGTTTTAATTTAATACAGCTTGCGTGCACAAAAACCTCAACATCAAAGACCCGCAACAAAACTCCATCAGAATGTAGCCGTATACTTGATTCAAGCATGTGCAATCCATCCTTCACTACTTGACGATGGAGAATAAGAGGAATGCATTATACAGTATATCTGTACTCGTACTTAGAGCACAAGAGCTGTTACCCCTGAATTTTTTATGTCAAGCTCCCCAACTTGATTATTTCACAAACATTAATGCATTTTCAAACACTGTGCAACTATTTAACAGAATTTCAAACATTTTGAAGTTCAAACATGATGAGAGTTATGATTCGTATGAATGTTAGACATCAAGTTGTTTTTGATTGATTACCAGATTCAACCTGAAGCTGCTAAACGATTCTCATCTTTCAAAAGTTGCACGCTGCATCAACAAAGAGTTTACAGGAAGTTTAGTTCTATGAGGAAAGGCGCAGAGTCCACATCAGTGTCGGGCAAGCGGAAAAGCTGCGCATGTTGCCACGCGCTCTCGCCCTCGCCGCCCCCCAGCACCGCCCTCACCACAAGCTCTCCGCTCACTTTACCATCACGCCACGTGTTGTCCAGGCCACCGGTCGTCCTGTCACCACTACCCCATGCTTCCTTTCTGTCCTGTCCACTGACAGCAGACGCCGTTTGTTTTATTGATGAAGACTTGCCGCCAGATGATGGTCGTTGCCTGTCGTCTACAGCCAAGCCAGCCCCTTTCCGGGACTCACTAGCTGATCGTTGAGATACGTTCTTGTTATCTGAACTTGATGATTCGGCCTTGACCGATGCAGAAGGAACAGGTTTATTATTGCCACTTTGATTCTTGGATAATTTACGAACGTCGGGGGAGACTGGCACATGAGACTTACCCTTAGATATATTAGAACTCTTACAGGGGTCGTTACTTTTGCCTCGAGGCTTAGCACCTCTCGAGCTTGGTGAGGTTGACGAGTGACGGTGAGAGGCCTCCACGCCACCGTTATTTCGAGAAGACGTTTCCGATGGACTTGCCCTCCGAGTAAATTTGTTAGCTTTATTTGCTGTGTCTTTGTCGTTAATTTTCGATTTGGCTGATTGGGATTGTTGGCCAGCGTCGGCGGCTGGATTGTTGTTATCCTGGTTGGAATCAAGAGCAGCGCTGCTGCCAGTAACCAAGCAAGACTTGAGGTTAGCGGCTGCTTTGTTGGCAGCTCGGCTGCACAGATTCTCTATTCGAAGCTCTCCGCCTGAAAAATATAAACTCAGTGTAAGGAAATCGCAATTATCAACACTGCCAAATGAAGCAGCGTGAAAGAAAAAGATGAACGCGGAGGAAATAGAAAACAGAAGAAGAGTAAACAAAGGAAGAGTGAAGAGAGATTGACGGAACAGCAGAACTTTAGATGGAGGAAGAAAGATGGGAGCCAGAAGGGGCAGAAATTGAACAGGGATATTGAAATGAAAAAATTATGTAAAACACGGAGAAAATGAGGAACAAGGAAAACCATAAATAAAAATATAACACAGTACCCACTGAAGTGAGTGACAGAGCGCGCATTTTCTCGTCGACGAAAACGTAAAGTCACGGACGGACGGACGAACAGACAGACAGACAGACGGACGGACATGATGAGCACAATAGCGCCTTTTTCCCATAAATGAGAAAATGCGCTAAAAACAAAAAAGAAATTTTAGAGAAACAATCAATTGAAGAAGAAAATGGAAATAAAATAAATAAAATTATGTCTCTCATCATTATAAGTAAGTTAATAACGAGGACATTTTTGGGTGCGACATATGATTAAAGGACACGAATACAACAATAATGAACATTACATTCAATGTTGCAGTGCGCAAATTACTTATCTGTCAATAGACGGTAACTCCCGTAGTCAGGCCTCTAAATATTAATAGGTATCATCTACGACGGTTAATACATAAGTAATTTAGGTTAACCCATGGTATACAGACGGTAACTCAGTCCCAGGCTTTTAGGCAAGAATAACGGAACGACAGATAAGCCATGAATGAAGATAAGAGTAACTTATGATATGCTGGCGGTGAACCTCGTTACCATGTCATCATCTACGAATATCCGTGACTTCAATAAATGTATTAGTATTGTTGCCAGAACTCACTGTGAACATTATATACGAATATTATTGACAACTGTTAGTGTTGTGATGAACAAAATTGTTTAATGTCTTTGGAACTCACAGTGGTCGTTTTTGGGATTTATACAAACATAGTTATACACTAATTTCATTGACCACGGTAAATGTATTGGCGTAACGAGGAGATAATGTCGCCGGAACTCACTGTGAACATTATATATGAATATTATTGACACCGGTTAGTGTTGCGATAAACAAATGGGGTAATGCCTCTAGAACTTACAGTATTCGTTGTTTGTGATTTATACGAACATTGTTATACATGATTATCATTAACAACGGTAAATGTATTGGTAAAACTGGAATATAACGTCGCCGGAACTCACTGTGGTCACCAGCGTGATGCTCGCCGTCAACGGTGACGCCCCACGTGACGGTGGCGCCATGGAAGAGCGCGTGTCGCAGCACCACGTGCAGCGCATCCAAGCGCACGCGGCAGCTCTCCCAACGCACGCGCCACGTCACCTCTCCAACGCGCGCGCCCGTCTCCCCTTCTGATGGGTGGACACTTGAATTACATTTCCTTTCTGACTTTTAAAGATAATTTGAATATATATCAATCAATACAGGCAGCGAGCTCCAGTCTCGATGCTTACCTCATATTTGTACGTTGGAAGTTTTATAAAATTGAGCTCTCTTTTTTTGGGGCAATTTCAAGGAGAGAATATCAATCAGACACTATGACATTTCAATCACTTATTCGGAAGTCCCTAATTTTTAACTTTTAAAATAAAATCATAACACGTAATTTTATCACTTTCTATGAAAAATCTTACTTGGGAAAGAATCGCAGTCACATTATATTGCTTCAAAGATGATAATTAGGAAAATTTCGTCCCTGCCATGTCAATGATCATTCTCTGATGACAGTAATGAATTAATACGTTGAGCGAGGAGTTAATTTAAGCATTAATTAAAGAACGCAGGGGCTTATGTTTAATTAATATTGTCGATGAATCACAATTCCTCAAGGAAAATTCGAATGGGCATTCGAAGAAAACTGTCCAATGTATATGCCCATTACAACCGGAGACAAACTAGGTATGTCTGTAGTTTTTCACTTTTAAAAATAAACTTTAAAGCTCTACCTTTGTACAAGTTCATTATTGCAGCAGAGATATAAATTGAAAAGCCATATCAGAAAATTTTACCTAAGTATTAAGATCACTTGATTGCTTAAATCGCAAGTTTATCAAGAATTAAAAAGCAAAGAAAACAGCCAAAAAATTCACCATTTCATATGAGAGAAAACGTTTCGAGTTTAGCTCCATCGTCAGTTCAAAAACCTAGAATAAGAAAAACAATTAGCGAACTAAAATTCCTAATGAAGATATTAAAACATAAATTTTCCAATGAAAACAAATATAAATGAAGTAAACATGAGCAGTCAAACCCATCTATTTACAATTTTGAGGGGATATGACCTGTAGGCTGCATTTAAACTAGGCTTCTGTTAAAAACATACAGGGACTCTTAAATTCGTAGGTCAGAAACACCGGTCGTGGGGGCTAAAACACTAAAATCACCATTAGACACCAGAAACGTTCAGGCCAGGACGTTTCACTGCTCGGCATGAACACGTACTGCTGAATGAGGGATGTGCGCAAGCAGGCTTTTACTTTTCTAATTGTTTGTACTTGCGTTCTATGTTTTTGGACTCCGAAACGTTTCCTCTCATAAGAAATGGTTAATTTTTTGGCTATTTTCTTTGCTTTCATATTCTTGAAAATTTTACCTCATCGAGCTACTTGTAAATGTTGAAATAAACAGCGTCATTTTTGTTCACAGAGTTTTTATGGGAAAACGAACCAATATATGAGATGAGGAGTTGAAAAAAGTAAATAAAAAAATTAAAACAAATAAGAGCCAATGCAATCCTCACTGAACATAGTACCCCATCACTGTCATAATATAGCGTGCCTAGAGCCTGATATTTTAATTAAGACTCGCGGGATCTCACCGGTCCTGGCGATGTAGACGTTATGCCAGTCATGTTCCCGCTTGATGGCGAGGTTAGCTGCCGTGTGCACGCCGGACTGCCAGCCCTGCAGCATCGCTGGGCCTACGGTGCCCTCGCACAGGTAAGAGTCTCGGACTGGATTGTACCTGAAAAGTCGACCATTTCCGTATTACAACGAAAAAAAGTCACTAAAAATAAAAGCGACGTTACCTCACGCAAACTCCTTCACATATCACACATACAGATAACCAATCCCAGATGTTTTAAGCAAAAATATCTTCAATTTGCTTATATTTTTCTTTCCGACATAATCCAAAAACACCTCACTCAGCAGCACTTGATGTAAGATGGAGGTGAAAGCAGTGAACAGCGTGAAGGATAAAGCAGGCTGGTAATCGGAATGTATAAAAGAAGAGACTGACTTGACAGAAAGCGTGGTGATGCGTTGGTAATTGGAATGTATAAGAGAAGAGACTGACTTGACAGAAAGCGTGGTGATGCGCTGGTAATGTATAAGAGAAGAGACTGACTTGACAGAGAGCGTGGTGATGCGCGCGGTGTGGTGGAGGGTGAAGGTGTGGTGTGACGTGGTCTGCAGCACGCCAGTCTCCCCTCTCGAGACTCGCCAGCCCAATGAACCAGAGCTGCGGCCTTCCAGTTCAGCTGATGTATAAATGATAAAAGTTAGCTTATGAGAGAAGTAAACCAGTTTGTCTATTCCTTGAAATAAAATTTATTTAATGTTACTCTTCGTAGCGAATTCACTTCATTAAGTTATGTAAATCACAATTAAGTAACGTCAACAATATTGCTGGTAAGAGGTTTTACTCGAAACTTAAAAAAAAAATTCAAATAATTCCTAAAATCAAACGAGGTCCAAATTATTCAACTGATCAAAAGAAAGTGCTGTTGATATTTTCCAACAAAAAACTTCCATATAATTCCTCAATAATTAAAATAAGACAGCAGTGAACAGAGGACCTTTAGTGGGCGTTCGAGTTGGAGAGAAGAAGGAGGCGATCTCCCGAGCCATCCTGATGTGGAGCTGATGGCGCGTGTGCTGCTGGTGCTGCTGCTGCAACTGCACCGTCAAGCCCCACAGATGCTGACACAGCTCCTCTTCACTCACCCTGCAACATATCATTTTAATCAAAATACATACGTCAATAATTAAGCTTACTTAAACATCCAACACTTTCTTCTCACATAAATTACTTTCAACAAGTCACAATAATTCGCTGCATTTCGGAAGGCTTTTTCTTGTTTTTTTTTACCTCGTTTGTAAGGTATGTTCATATTTTGTTAGGTATGTCCATATTTTCTTAGGTATGTTCATATTTTATTAGGTATGTTATTTATGGTTTACCATAAAAAGCGGAAATTTCCATCACAGTTACCGTAGTAGAAATTTTTTAATTCAAGATCAATAGAGCCTTGTAACAGCGTTCGAAATCATTGACTTGTCGCGGCGCTAGGTACTCAAATACCAATAAGCAACAAGGTAAATGGTACAACAGCTGACAGTTCTCACGTCATTAGACAACACTACACTCACGAATCACTATGCTTCTTTGGCTCGTAAGCTACAGAATGAATAGTACGACAACTAACAGTTGTTATTAATATGCTCCCCTCTTCGTGTTTGACTCACTTGTCGCGGCGCTACTCTAATACCAATAAGCAACAAGGTAAATGGTACGACAACTGCCAGTTCTCACGTCATTAGCCAACACTACACTCACGAGTCACTATGCTTCTTTAGCTCGTAAGCTACAGAATGAATAGTACGACAACTAACGGTTGTTATTAATATGCTCCCCTCTTCGTGTTTGACTCACTTGTCGCGGCGCTTCTTAACCTCGTTAGGCTGGAGCGTGTAGCGCCATGTGACGTCCATGACCTCGTCCCTGGACACGGCGATGACGTAGCTCAGGGCCTTGCCCCAGCCGCACTCGTACAGCAGGGGGCAGTCGATGCGGCCTTCGCATGGGTCAACGTGCACCCAACGCGACTGAGACTGCGACCAAACCTCCGTCCAGGTGTGGTCGGTCTCATCGAATACTTGTCTGCAATAATTACACGCTTCATTTACATGCCCAAGATACAGATAAATAGTTCAAATATTCGTCTTTGTGTTGTGGGTATCGTTGAGGAACGATTTAGTTGATTATATGCTTTTTACACAACCAAGGCTTCAACGATGCCAGAATATAAACGCATTTACTTTCTTTATATCATAAATGATAAATTTCAAGTTCTCATCACAATTTTATCCTGTACAGCGTCGAGGAGACATACGTCACCACCAATTTCAGAGCTCCAGATTCCAATTATAACATTTTCCATACACCACATATAGCTCACGAACGTGTCAAACGAAGTTTAATTCTAGAATTTTGATAATCTTAATGCAATTTTGAATAAAAATTAAATTGGAAGGAAAAAAATTCAAGTTTGCATGCTAATAGGTTTTCTATGAAGTCACGAGCAAAGAAAATGGTGTATTACATTTCAAAGGCAAAGAATTTATAGGAGTAATATTTAATAAAAATTATACAAGGAGAACACTTAGGAGAGCAGTTGACCTGGCATCGAAGCCGAGCGTCCTGCAGCAGAGCGTGAAGCAAGACGCCCACTCCCCACATCGGCCCTCGCGCGTCTCCAGCAGCCGCCCCACGTCCAGGTAGCGGGGGAACCTCCTGTCTGCGCCGCACCTCTGCAGCGTCCAGGTCACCATGAAATAAATTACTATTATCAACTCTAGATACAAAATTAATTATAAAACCGACCAGAAGAAAGCACCGTTATTGTTTCTCAAACTATGAAAAAATAAATAAGAACAATATTTAATTGAATTATAAAAATGACGAAATGCACAAGCATTATTCATTTCAATTAGTTAACCACAAAAATATAGGTACCATACGTATATAGAAGATATTCAAACAAAAGTAGGTAAAACAAAACATACTAGTATGGCAACAAAACTAGTGGGCTATTTCAACTTAATAGATTTAGAAAGCATGCTTTCTGTATAAAATTTTATGGCAACGCAGGTGCGTCTATCTGTTTGGTTTGACCTAAAATAAGACTATAGGTGTACCTGGCACTGGTAATATTCTACTGTGTTGGCCTCTCCTTTGAGCTCATGCTTGGTAGGAGGCACGGTGCTCTTGCTGGCCATGTTGCAGCGACACGCCGAGCACCAACCACAGTCAAACCAACGGAAGAAGTCGCTCTTGAACCAATTAGTGAGCTCGCCTAGTAGGTGGTCCTGTGAAGTGATCATCATTATTAAACTTAAATCATTGATTAGTGAACTGTGACTATCAAAATAGTGTCAAAAGTACTTTGGAAACCAAACAAAAAAGTGCTTTTAAACCTAACCACATTGTTATCTGGGGAACAATACTGAACTCACATCGATGTCAGAACGCTCTTAACGTCAGTATCTTGACCGCTCAAAAATGGTATAAATTGACAAATTTTCACCACTTGATACATTTACTCACATTGAGATCTAGGGGTTTATCAAGTCGCTCATGAGGTTCCTTTACTTTAGCTTCACCTTTGGCACCTTCTTTGCGAGCAAGAAGTGCTTGCTTTAGCTGAGTATTGGCTGCGCTGTGCAAACGTGCCATGGGTATCAAGGATCGCGCTTTGGCTTGGTTCACAGGATCTTCATAAGTTAAGACACGTTGCAGGTAACCTTGGAAGCGGCTCAGCCAGCGCTGATGTGGTTGCAACTGAGGAAGTCAAACCTCCATTAGCACTAAAACATTTGAGTTGCTATTACTATTGCTCTAGTTATTATAAGGTGGCTGCAACTGAGCGTAGTTATATGAAGCTATTGTAGATACTGCCGTAATTAGTTCATGTTGTGTGGTACTTTACAGAATTTGCAGTACAAAACGAAACATTTCAATGAGATAAACACAGACTGAATAAAAGATTATAACAATATAAAGAAAATATTTCCAAATTTTTTAAGGACACCTCAACATGTTTTAATTATATAGGTCTAATTGTTGACGAAACATTGCTTATTAAGGGTAACAAGTACTTTTCATCTTATGTTACCCATCACTTTAAAGAATTTTATTCAGTTCTTCATGTGCCAGCTTTTATTCTTCATTGCATAGGTACTATTCAATATGAGATACGTACATGACCAAATCCAACTAAAACCTTAAATCCAAACCAAACCTAACTCCTTAAAAACCAAATTCAGGACAATCTTACAATTTCTTAATTTCTTTTGGCACACCAAAAAGCCATGACGCAGTCAGAGGTACAAAATGCAACAGATTAACAACCATGCGCCGGATACAACAAATCAATAATCATGTCCCAGATACAAAAGATTAGCAACCTTGTAAGGAGACAGACGTTTGCTTGTGGCGCCTGTGGCGGCCGCGGTCACAGTGGAGCTGCTCAAGGGCGTCACGACGGACGAAGCAAGTGAGCTGCTGCCGCTTGCACTCCCACTGCTGCCCCCTGTGCTGGCAGACGCGTGGCTGCTGCTGCTGCTGCGTGATGCGGTGTCCGATGGCTTCATGGGCGCACCGTTCACTGGAGGAGGCAGGCTGTCAGTTTGCTGGGGGCCTGTGCACAATGCAACTGCAGGTTGACCCATGGCCTTAACATTCAATGCCGCTGGTGTCACCACAGCAGAGTGAGGCGTTCTAACTGGATTTTTTCCACCATTTGCATTATCTGTAGGTTTGGAATCAGAGATTTCAGACATTTTCACATGGCCATTTTCAAGTGTTAAAGACTGGCGTGTGGGAGAAGGTTTAGGCTTGTCAGAAGTAACTCTAGACGACATCATACTGGCTTTAGTAATTTTTTTAGGAACATTTTCTAATTGAGATCTGTCTTTCTCTGTCTTTTTTAAACTATATTTTTTACTGGGAAAAGTTGTCACAGTTTTATTCTCAGTCATGGAGCTCCCAGGCGAGCTTTTGGACGTAAGAGCAGCCATAACTTTTGAGGTTGAAGAACTGCTTTGGTTACCACTACTGGAAATTGATCCTCCACTAGGTAATCTCTTCTTCTCTTGGGCTTTGTTATTTTTGGTCTTGTCTTGCGGGGATTGTTTAGCAGAGGAGGAGCGGAGTAAGGCTGGGCTGTGCAGTGAGGTAGGACTTGGAAGAGAGCGGTCTGTAGCTGCCCCTCCTGAACCCCCTGCAAATGACAAATTCAGAAAGGAATCCTTGGAAAATAGTCAATAGAATCTTCCAAAATAACCCATTAAATTAAATATGTTCAAAGAATAAAGTTTTCCAAAAATACTAAGCAGCAAGTAAAATGAGAAGCTAAATCATTTCTTTTATATGTAGATAATCATAAAGATAGGTATGTAATCATCCTGCATCTATTCTGCATAGCAGAAACCAAAGACACATGTCTAAGTTTATATAGCATCAGAAGAATCAATAGTCAGATTTACCAGAAGAATTAGAAGTCTTCCAGTTGAGCAGTTGATGGAGCTGTTCTTGGTACATCTTCACTGTCTCCAGGCAAGCATCATCTGGCATGACCAATCGGTCATTGGCCTGCCACAAAAATAGGCTTTATTTTTCATTCTAGCGTGTTACTCTCTCTATTGACAATAGATGTACCTGAAATTTGGATAACACAATGCCTGTAAAAATATAAAAATTTAATATAATTACCAGTGGAAATTTATTCTCAAGCACTTGATCATAGCTGGATGAATTATACATTTAGCTCACTTCCTGAAAGCCCATGAAGAACAATAATTCAAAGGCACCATGAGCCGGCAGCAGCGTTAGCTCCATTGCCCGGCTGTTCAGGTTGAGACTCCTCACTCTCTTTTCATTAGGTTGTTGCACAATACTGCTGCTGATCTGCACACAAGTGAAACATTGGTAACAAAAAGATACAGGTACTACTGCCACACAAAAATAGATAGTATATTTGAGAGCTGAACAATAATAAAATACCAACAGATATTTATTTCTTCTCAAAATACAACACCTGTTACAGATGATAGTAAGGCAAACAACTATTTATATTTATATACAACATTTGCATATACATTGAAGATTCATCAAGTAAAGATTAATAATCCAATGGTTGTAAAGGGCCACACAGTTTATAGGTCCTGTATACATACATATATTTATGGTCTTTACCTTGAGCAATAAAGTGATTGCTTTCTCACATAAGGTCTCTTCATTAGTCAAGAGAAGTGCAACTTCAGGATCAACAGCCGGAGGAATCATTGAAGACATTGTAGATCAATTGCAATATGATGGATTGCTTTCTAAACAATTCTAAACATTTAGTAGCCTCATAAATATTATCCCAAAAATTGCTCCTGAAGAACATATATATTTTTTACCAGTTATATACAGTTCTGTAATGAAGGATAATTGATTCTAATTTTTGAAATTACAATACAAACCTGCCAATTAGTATATTTCTAAAAACCTATCAATTGACAATTCATGAATTTCAAAGCCTAAACATCAATAAAATCAATCAAATATTCTATGTATATCAAAATTGATCTCTGGGAGTAGGAGCACTTAATTGAAACACGAGGCTAATTAGCATTTTAATATTATTTGAGATAACATAAGCAGAACTTAGGGAAAGTAATCTTGACTTGCCACATAAATGGGAAGTGATCTTGACTTGCCACAACCTCCTCAAAATATAAGCAAGAAAGACAGTTTATCAATATTACCGGTACTAACTGGACAGTATTGAGTGCGGTCCTTGATAATTGGTGTAAGACTGAAAAAAAAACTACTTTTAATTAACTTATCACAATACACAACACCAACTAGGACTACAAAGGTCATATGGCACATAATCCAAACTCAACCTGGAAATTAGTATTTCTATTCAGGTCCATGTCAGGAACACATGGCAAACACATCTTGCGTCATGCAGCAGGCGCACAAACCAGTCTAAGCACTGGAATCTCCTTCGCTCCCTAGAAGATATTCAAGTAAACATTTTTAAACCCTGCACATGCCATCCTCCCGCTGGAAAGCAAAACTGCCATCCCCCCCAATCAGCCAATCCTATTTGGTCTGAATACCCTCTCATCCCAGCGCAAGATGTCTTCCGCCTTCTGCAAGTTATTTACTTCAATTGCTCCTCACTCCCCAAGCCCCTTCACCTGCCGCCTCATACATCAGTGTCATCTGCCAATACGCGAAAAAATTTTAAACCACCCGGAGAGAATGCGCCGGAGCCGTCTATCTGTCCTGCATGTCAAATCAGCCTACAGTCAAACGGCCACTCATCATACGGTTATATAAATTTTTAATATAGAAGAATTTGTATCTTTCATTTTTTCACATGACTATATTGATATTGGTTTCACATTGGTTGCCGGTGCGGTTGGTATCCCTGCTACCTTCTTTTTTTATGTTTTTCGTTTGGCTGATTGCAACAAAAGGATATTGTATGTCTCAGCTGATTGCATTGGTGGTCAGTTTTGTAATTGTGGATTGAATCATAGGCAGTTTTTCATTTATTTGTGAGTGAGTGTACATAGTGAAGATGTTATTCTTTGCAATTTCCATCAATAATGACATAACTACAATATTGTATTGCGCTCTTGAAATAAGAATTGTAGCATTACGCATTAAGTTAGCATCAGTGCGTTAACATTGTGTGCATTTGAGGCGGTCCCTTCCAGCTTTCTATCGCTGATTGGATTCCAGTAGCTGTGACGTTGAACACGTTCTAGCGATGATTGGATCCCTGTGACAGTACATTGGATGCATTCAAGCATTGATTGGATTCTTGTGACTGTTACGTTGGGTGCGTTCAAGGGTTGATTGGATTCTTGTTACTGTGATGATGCAAGCGCTGTTTTTTTCAATGAAACAGCTGTGGCATCTTGCAGAGACTCATCAGAGATGATGATGGACTGAAAGTGGAAGTGTGCTGGACGTTCCAGAGAAGTTTCTCCAACTGCCGATGAGTTCTCAATTTGAAAGCTGAGGTAACAAATAGGTGCCATAAATTTTTTTATATTTAATTTGAAACTATTATGTTGGGAGTAAATAGTATTTCCTTCTGTAGATCCATCCCTCGTGCTCATCTGTGAGTGATGCGCGCAATTAACAATCTTGCATGGGACCTTCTCTGTGTTGCCTGACTTGACGTTCATACAATCATAGCTACCGTAACCAAAGCCAATTTCTGATGGCCTGCAAACCTGTTTCTAGTTGCCTGGAACATTTTTTTTAAGGCAGAACGTTTTTTTTATGTGAGCCACAAATTTTAGAATTCCCGCCTAGTCTGTTGTACCTACGCAAGTTACAGTTTGAGCTAAAGTCAGGGTATGAAGAGATGATTTAATGCAACAATCAGTGGTGATCCTCTTCGTCTTTGCAGGGTGTCCACTTGGAGTGGACTTGAAGCCGCAAGTCTGCCAGATGGATGACCATTGGGAACTTGGGCCTGAGAGCTTATAGCTTGTGGTTTTCAGCTTCATTGTATATGAAATAAATTGCTGCCATCTTGTGAGGTTGGCTGATGTAAGCTCAGTACAGGATTGGGTAGAAGTTTACAGGGAACATATATTAGTAAATGAAATGAGTTGCTGCTAATGTAATTTAGATAAGTAAGGGCTGCTAATATAACAACCTTCATTACACAAAAATAATAATAATAATAATAATAATAGAAATATATACATAATTATAATAATATTGAAAAAAACTTAGATGATCTACTTGCTAAATCAAAACATACATCAGCTGCATAATCAGCAGTTACCATGCCCATGCTGGCCATGCATTAACAATTCTATCATGCTTGCACATATACAGCATTACAAGGCACTCATGCTTGTCTAAACCATGGTCAGGAAGATGTGCCAGGTGCGCGGGAATTTATTTTGTCATTTTAACGACCTGCGCGGTGCGCCGTACTATGCTGGTAAAAAAATGCACCGTGCGCCGTACTTTAGAAAGCTTAAATAGTTCTACTATTTTAGTAGACAATATACGCGAGTATATTGACTTTGCGAGTCATAGTGCTATTAGTGGCAAACCAGAGCTTTTTTAGAATCAGTTCATTTTTAATTTTCTCATTTACTCAAGATTCAAGCCAATTTCTTATGTATGATAATGCTGGTATCCAGGATACTTTACTGGTCTACTTATAGGACTCAAAAATGAACTTGAGGGAGAGTCTAAAAAACTCTCTGCTTTGCCACTATGAATTATTGCGAGTTGAACTGACAATAATAAAATGTAAGACATGTCCGGGTTACTTCTGACTCTTCCGCTTGTCTGCCTTGTCGGATACGGAACGTACGGTAATCGTAAACTGCGGCTATTATACATACAAAATGTAAACAGACGGTGTTCAGTGTTGCCATATGACTTTGGAGAAAATTTCTTCTAAAATAAAGTTCTAGATTTCTCATTCACCAAATTTCCGTATCAAGAAAAATCATATATTATTGAAAGATAATTCAAGGCATACTGTACTGAGTAATGTGAGTATTACGTCTGTTCCTCCACGATACTGCTCATGCGCGGCAGCGCGACATAGAATTGATGGCCGGGATTGCGCGAACACGTGCGCGAAGAGAATCAATTTTCATTACATTGCGCCAACTGAGCACCGCAATAGCTTAAAAATAGTGAAAATGTGCGGGAAAATTCACCGAAAACATACATCATCCTGAGTGTGGCCTGACCATGGCATTGATGCTTCTCAAGTTACTTAGTAGGCCTAGCTCCTGTCTTGGTAGCACATGACACATGACACTGACAGTCCAGAAGAAAGTGAACAATTGTGTCTGTTGTGTTGCAGGGCAGCCGGGCAGATGGTCTGGTGGTGTATGTGTAAGTGGTGGTGTATGTGTAAGTGGTGGAGGTCCTGGTGGACAATCATTAGGGTAAACGCGGTATATTCCGACACTTTAAGGACGCATCGAGAAATGAAAAACTATAAAAAAAAACCGTATGCATTACGTAAGTTCTGTTGCCTTGGCAAAGCAGAGAGTTTTTTAGACTCTCCCTCAAGTTCATTTTTGAGTCCTATAAGTAGACCAGTAAAGTATCATGGATACCAGCATTACCTTACATAAGAAATTGGTTTAAGTCTTGAGTAAATGAGGAAATTAAAAATGAATTGATTCTAAAAAATCTCTGGTCTGTCACTATGATTCAGCCTATTCACTTCAGAATACGGTGGCGTAAAGCTCCTTATATTTAAAGCAAGATGATATCACGGGCTGGGTACCGACGGATGCCTTAATCCACGGCTGATTTTTTTTAGTGGAGGTTAAGAGACTTGTGGGGTTGTGGCGACAAAAGCGCCCACCAGCCTGATTTCTGTCAGAAAAAGAAAGCAAAGCAGCAGACTCGGAGCTCTACTAGACTAGGTTGCTGCCCCAGCACAGTGGTGAGCACACTATGGACCAATGCAGTCTCCATCGACCACCACGGCTGATTATTGGTCATCCGGAAATATGCTAGGCGTTTCAAGGCTGATTGGTGCACAAATTTGGTGGTGCACTGCTGCGTACCCCATAATCCCAGGAACTGTGACTGAAACACGGACGACCGGACCCAAACCAAATGACTAAAACCTGGACCCAGATCGGTCCGCCACACCACTCACATGAATAAAAATTTGCAAATCATCTTAATCGACGAAAAAAATTGAAACTTTACATTGCAAATCTTCAAATTTACTTAGAAAACTTTCGTATGACCACCACCTGAGGGTCTCTGAAAGGTGCATCCTTTGATCGTGCTAATCGACAGAGAATGTTCTGAAACGTCCAGAAATCATTGAACATTTTCATAGACTTTTTGTCATTTTAGGAAAATTTCATGCCAGGTCCAGGAGACCCCAGATCAAGTGACTAAAGTGACCAAAAACCGGGCCCGGACCCATGTATTCGGGCCACAGAAAAAAAACAATTTTCGATCGAACTATCCGCCCAGTATTGTGAAATGCCCAGAAAACTTAAAACATTTATATCGAATTTTTGTCAATTAATTCGAATTCATGTCAGGTCCGGGGGATCCAAAGCCTTGTATTCGCGTCACAGAATATTGCATTTTTCGATCGAACTAATCGATAGAGAATGTTCTAAAACGTCCAGAAACATTAAACATTTATATCGAATTTATGTCGATTTACTTCGAAAAATTCCATATCAGGTGCCTCCAATTTTGCAACATTGGGTCCATGCGAAGGGCTCGACGATATGGTTGTAAATTCTTTTTGTTTTTACAAAAAAAAATCCATTCATTCACAGAAATTTTGTTAAATTAATTGCTCATTATACGCTGTTTTTCACGGCTCTTGAAATTCACGGCCCTGAGAGTGAGGCCATGCTTCAGAGAGGAGTAAACCTGCGCCTTC